CATAGTCATCGGGAGAATACAAAGAAAAGGCATATGAGAAGAATGGGAGAAATTGAAAATGCCTGAGGACGATAGGCTTGGTGAACGACAGTGAAGTGTAGGCAAATGGCGTTGGTGCTCGATACATGGCGGAGCGGACAAAAAATAAGAAAAATGGAAAATTATAAGATAAAGATAAAAGTAAAAGGAAAACTACGTGTGAAAATTGCTTGCAAAGTTGGTGAAAAGGTGGACTTCAATGGGCAGTGAGTCTTGAATCTTTGGATGCATGTGTGTGTGTGCGCATGTACAGGTTTTCCAACAGTCCTGATTATCACTGTACCCTCTTCCCAAGAGGGAAAATGTGTAGAAGTCACGGGAGCTATTGCATCATTATTCTAGCTCCCAGGCAAACCTCACGAACGGGCCTTTTCAAGAGAAGTGTCGGCGTTCACAGCCAGAAATTCGCAGGTAATCGTGATGGACATTAAACACTTTCGGGCCTCAAATGAATGAAAAGAGGCAAGTAAGGATGGAGTCATAGTTGTGGGTAAAACTAGCCCGACTAGATGGTACCAATAAGAAGAGTTAGGAAAAGGAGAGCTATACTCCAATAATATATACTGGCCATACTCCCTTTGGGTAGTTAGCAAAAAAAATTGTTTTTTCAGCTGCTCGTCAGAGATGATCGAATGCATGGGATAAGAAGGGAATAAAAATGGCAAGGATCTATGTTCATGTAAGATGCAATGCCTTAGCAACATCAGGATCCCAATGTGTGACGCATTGTCTGATAGCATCAAAGTGACCGGCCACAAAGTAGTATGGAGCCTCTTCTTCCTGTTCTTCTCCTTCATCTTCATCCTCCTCATCTTCCTCTGTCTCTTCCTCTTCCTCCTCGTCATCACCGTCAGCTCCGTCGTCAGAATCTTCCTCATGCTGCTCGCAACTGCTGTCATGTTCTTCTCTTTTCCCCTTTGTCTTTACCACCTCGAATGAGCCCTGTGAGTATGCAGTACTTTCAGAGTGCACTTCGCTCGATGGGTTTAGGATACCTGCTAAGTTGGATTGGCAAGTTTTTCCCGTAGTGTTTGTGGAAGCTGGGGCTCTCTGATCGGTAAGAAGGCTCAACACTAATCTCCTGGATGCTTGGTTTGATTCTGTGGGACGGGAAGGCCCGGAAGTTTGAAGGATCTTAGCCGATGACTGTAATATAAGGCAAACATGAAGATGCAAAATTAAGAGGATAGACTGACTTGTTAAGGAACTTGGAAATGGAGGTAAAAGTGAAGTATATAAGAGCTGTATTTAGCCTGCTTAGATTAAGATAATGAAAAACTGGTGGTTGAATTTTCCCGAAATGATGAGTAAGCAACAGGTTTCCATTTAATTCAATTAATAGTCCTCCATCATGCTAAACGAAGTAGAGTGAATACACCTCCTATATGAGATCTACTAATAATATCTAACGTCTATATATAAACGGAAAAACAAAAAAACTGTTTAACTTATCGAAATTTACTTTAAAATATTCAATTTTATCATTATTTTGGGCAATATTGCAGGTCAGCTTAAGAATTCTGCATGAAACTAGTATGCCACTTTTTCGCTTTTACATAATAGACAAATCGGTAGCATTTATTGTGGCCTATGGGGTGACTTGCTTGCCTCTGAATTGTATTCATTCCATACGTTACAACGTCCGTCATTAACTGTAGTTTAAGAAAATTTGCATAATTAAAAATCATGTAATCGAATTAGTCCCCATTTCCTTCTAGTCTTGTCTTCATCAAACCATTCTAGACTTGGTCAGGTCCCTCTATTAGTTACTTAGGAAGTTATGAAAGCTACAGAGAAAACAGAAGTTAGGCTATTTATTAGGTGAAATACAAATTTAAAAAAAATCAGAAATCAGTAACTTGTCGGAATCGAGCCATCCTGGCCTTTGCGTAGTCAGAAGAAGGGTGGCTAGAATTGGTGCTGTGCATACAAGATATATGGGAAAAAAGATTGTCTGTTATATGACATAATATTTCTTGATGTGTTAGCCTGAATTTGTTGTAAGAATGAAACCCTGCTCTGATGATGTATGTCATACGAAAGTCGAGGGCTCGGTGTGCCTTCAAAGGAACAGAAGGAGGCTGACTCGGGGAAAGATTCAACCAAAAGACTCCAGTAAGGCCAAGCGACAGCTGACCAAAAAGAATCCGCCGTCGTCTTTTGATGGGATTGAACTTTGAGGCTCTTTATCACACACTTTCACTCAAAATGTAAGCAGGCTTAACAAAATTTTAACCATCTAAAGATGTTTAACAATTCATCTTCTTTAGATAAAATCAGTAAAAAAAAGGCTACACACCCTTAATTCACAGTTTTTCACCCACTTGGTAGCGAAGGCAAAAACCGCTAACTCCATTTGGTCGCAAATATCAGTGATGCGATTTTTGCCAAGTAACACTATTCTTGCTTATCACGCCATAAGATAAATGGTGTATATTGAAGATAATATTATCCCAAATTAAATGAAGAAAAGCTAGCTTTCGAAGAACTCCTAAATAATTTAAGTTGGCTCGACTAAATTATGAGACGAAAACGACTACTAGTAGTACAATTTAAGATCACTAGGCAACGAATAAGGCGAGTTATTCAGGAAGAGAGTTAATAATGACGGGAGGTACTTACCGAGGGAGTGACATTGGAGGATGTGATAGAAACGCAGATGGCATTGCTACTATTGGGAGTGACAGGAGTATTAGTAGTCTGGAGTAGGCGAGGAGTGGGAACGTTTGTGTTATCAACAAGTTTGGGGTGTGGAATCGGATCATGGTCTAGCTTTTCCGTCTCAGATGCTGAACCTCCGTGCAGGAGATCATTCTTCGCAAACTCTAAATTTCGCTCGAGGGAAGCATCAAGTTGAGAATCAGGACTAGCTGGTAGCGTTGGTACCTTGCCGGTCTGTGCCTCGGTGTGATTCAGGATCTCATCAATAATGCCCGGCAGCCTTTGAGACGGGCGGCCGCTGGACTTTGTGGTCAACCAGCTGTGGTGCCTGGCATCAGGCGAGGTTATTCGGCCGCGTCGGCTCAGTCTGGACTCGACTGGCTCCGAAAGAAGCAATCGTGATGACAAAGCAGTCGACCCAGAAGGAGAGGCGTCGTTGCTACAAGCATCCTCGACATCTTCCCGACCGACTGTGGGTGTCTTCTCGCCGAGACAGGCCATGGCAGAACGGAACGCGGTGAGGCTGCGAAACAGTCGCGCCGGCCGGAGAATGCAGCTGGCCTCATTGTCATCTCGATGGTCTGAGGAGAAGACAGCCCTCGGAAAGAGACCGGACACCAACAGACGGCGTCCATCCGCACCAGCCTCATGGGGATAGTAGAACCTGTACGAGTAAAGGTGACGGAATGTTCAGTGGGCGATTTGTGTGGTCTCGTCAGTTAAGATCATGTTTTTTTAGATGTAATGTCCCAGCCATTACTAAAATTGTCATGCAATGAGTATAATGAAGAAAGAAAGTGATATTAAATCAAGTCTGCAAAAGGTAAGGACTTTATGACTTCCATCGCAGTATGACCAAAGATTATTGAGTCCTGGCTGAATTCCTCCTAAAATGCAAAATGGGATGAAGGACTGATAGCTTAATTTTTCCACAATCAGATGAGTAGGCCCCACGCTTCCTTTGCAGAGGACGAAAATTTATCTGTCATGCCGTCTGGCAAGCATCATCAGAGTTGAATCATAGTTAAGTCAATAAGACATATAAGTAGGTTGACCTCGTTGTCGCAACTTGGTCTTGTTGTAAGGGCGACTTAGTAGAACACACCTAGTTCGAAGTCGTCTGCCATAGTAGTTGTCATGATTCCCAGCATCAGACAGTGGACTTGGTACATTCTCAAACGGTTCGCCGGCATCGTAGTCGGCATCATCAGTGAGTTTTGCCATTCGCCGCACCAAGCTACGAACTCGTCAACCGGCATCATAGTCGGCATCATCGTGAGTTTTGTCATTCGCCGCACCAAGCTACGAACTCGTCAATGAGACAAATGAAGTCAATCACTCGACAAACGTTCTGCCGAAAACGATTACACTATCATTCCTCTTTCTGTCATTGTCTATCTATCTACTCTTTACA